TTTCATAATTAATTAATAACATTTCACAAAAGAATTAAATTATTATAAGAAATTTTGATAAAACTCTTTATAAAAATTTTAATATTTTAAATATTATTCTAATTAAATTTTGCGTAAGAATAAACTTTTTTAAAAGATTTTATTTTAATTTTTCGCAAAAAATTTAATTATTTTGAAAATTTTGGATTTATTTTTTTGTAAAAATTAAATTATTGCAGGTTAAAAATTATAAAATTAAGTAAGAAATAACGCATAAGGAATATTTTTAATTGACAAAAATTTTGTTTAATTGCTTTTCTAATATTGAAAGCATTTTATTATACATTAGAATTTTCATTAATTTTAAATATTAAAATATTAAAAAGAATAATTAATTATAAAAAAACTAGAGAACAAAATGCAAACAGAAACAACTAACTTCAAATTGCGAATAGATGTGAAGTCAAATTAAGTAAGGAAAAAAATAAAGTTTAATTTAATGCTTATCTATTAACTTTCTAATTTAATATTTTCATTTTTAGTAATTTATTTATTCTTATTTTTTGAAGATTTAATTAATAAATAATATTAGAAATTAAATTATTTATTGTAATGAGAAAATTCAAATATCTTTGTGAATCCTTTTTTAAATTATCCCGCCATTAGTGACGCCAACCAATGAGATCACTTGAAGCTTAAAAGGACCCGAAATATTCTTCCCTACACATTGTTGATTAGGTTAGTTGGTTAGGTTGTTTCTTTCTGCGTTGTGAATAATGGTTCTACCCCCAGTCCCTCCAAATTTATTTTCAAAATTATTCTTCAATAATATAATATTGATATTGAGGAATAAATAAGTAATCAGTTCGCGGCAATAAATAAATTATAGAGAGAAATATTTTTTATTTTATATTTTTATTAAATTTATAAATACTATTTTTTTAGCTATAAGTAAACTGAAATATTAAATAAGTTTAAGTGCAAATTAAATAGATAATTACGGAAATTCCGTAAATGATTATTTGTATAATATCAATTTATATTATATTACTTACCTTATGACGCTTACTAGAAACTAACTTTTAATGCTTACAGATACTTACCAGAGATAGTTTTAAAGAACTTTTCTCTACTTGTTTTCAGAAAAGTTTCTTAGATAACTTTCTGCAAGCTAACACGGAAAACTAAAAAGCGTAGGACATTTATAGGCCAAGGGAAGCTAACGGGAAGCTAACCATATGTTAGCTATATATATATAGAAACTAACATGGTTAGTTTCCCGTTAGCTTCCCGCAAAATATGGTGCTATGTGGGTCCTTAAGCCCATAATTATTACGCAACAATTCGAAATTATGTCCGTCAAGAAACTCATCTAAAATAAATACGAAATAATCCAAAATCATTATGTAAAGAATACGAAATCAGTCCGCAATAATCCGAATTTAATCCAGTTAAAATATTTAATCCGAAACAAGTATGGAACAATCCAAAATCTGTATGCAAAGAATCCGGTAATAGTCAACGTCAATCCGAATAATATCCGATAAAAACACCCCAGTCCGAAAATAAGTCTTATTATTATAAGAATTTGTAAATATATACAATCCACAGACAGTTCAAACTTCAAAACAATCCATATTCAAAGACTTAATCCGGAATGATTTTGGTATAATATTAAATTGGTATATTAAAAACAATTTGTATTAAATGCAGATAAATTCAAACTATAATTATAATTTCGTATGACAAAAACCTGACCAAAACCAGATTAATTCCGGATTTAATAATTTCACATTTGCAAGTTGCGTATTATCAGACTAACTTCGGACTAGATCGGACTAATTCCGGATTCACTGGTTATACACAAACCGCATTGAGTTTGAATTTATCCGGACAAATTCCGAGCGACAGAAACCTGTCCATAAGCAGACTGTTTCGGATTAGCTGCGGATTCACTGGTTAAACCAACCGGATTACTTCTGCATTTACTAGTCGCATATGATCTGGCTAACTTCGGACTAAATCGGACTAATTACTGATTCAATAGTTATAAAAAACTGTATTCAGTTTAAACTTAATTCAGGGTGAAAAAACTCCACAATAAACCGTACTCTTGCGGACAAATTCCGGATTAGTCCGAAATCGGTCCCACTTTTTATTCAGGGTATTTAATAATGGTAAATAAAATATTTAATTTTGCAGTCAATTTGTTTTTACAAATTTACTAGTATTACTAGTTATCTTGTTTCAATATTAAAATTAACACTGATGTCTTAGTTTCTTGTCATTTCTTTTCATGGCACTTTATAAATTCAATTATGAATTTGAACTCCCATGCGAGCGTGGTATAGTGGTTAGTGTATTCGACTTCGGTGCGATATAATGTTAGATAGGTGTAGGTTCGAATCTCCAAGCGTTAGAAATTTTAAGTTAATGTAAATAAAATTGCTATAGATAAATCGAAAAATATGTTGAATGTACCATAAAGTAATAATAATTAATATGTGTAACTTGTATAATTTTTTTTTTATTAACATTCACTAAATTGTGTGGACTAATTTTTGACTGTTTCGGACTAATTCCGGATTCACTAGTTAAAATTAACTGATTAATTTCGGACTTCATCGGACCAACTCCGCTTTCACTAGTTGTTCACAAACCGTATAGAGTTCGGATTTTTCCGGATTAATTTCGGGTGATAAAAACCTGACCATTATCCCTAGTAGAAATTTGTTATGGAGCCACTCGATTGTTCAAGTTACTGAACAGTTTTTGTCACGGACGCTGATTCTAGGCGGACTGGTAAATAACTGTAAAGTTACTAACCAACGCTCTTCGTCAAAGATTCAAGTTGAATTTGATATTGGCTAGACATAACTTCTGTCTAGTTTTTTAATGTTACTTTAAAGTACTCCTAGAAATTATAGTTCTAAGTTTGTCGTGTCGATGACACTGCAATAATGTCTAATAACTAGACAGCTCGACTGATTATTATTTGCTAGAGATAAATTTGTTCTTATTCTTTCCAATATTTTAAAACTTTTCATTTTAATTTGTTATTAATAAAAAATTTAATTAATTTATTATTATAAATTAATAATATTAATTAATAAATATTTACAATCATTCATAATAAATATAAAAATAATAAAATTAGTTAAAAATTAATTTTTTAAAATTCCATTTTAGTTTAATTATAATTTTCTATTAATTAAAAATTTAATGAATTTATTATTATTAATTAATAATCAATTAATCATATTAAATAATAAAATTAATTAATAAATATTTATAATAATTTTTAATAAATTAATAAAAATAATTAAAAATTTAATTACAGTAATCAATTTATTTATTAATTGTTAACGTTGCAAATTAAATTACTAAAAAGTTATTATAATTAAAAAATCATCTAAAATGTTTTATTACATAGAAAATATTAAAAGTATATACCAATGCCACTTTGATTATTTCTTATAATTAGAGGAAAAAATTTTTAAAAAAATTAGAATATCGGTTTTTCAGATTTTTTCATGGGCTTTCACATGGCAAAGTCTATTTTCAAAAATTTTTTTATTTTGACATAAATTTTGAAAAAATAAAAATAAATTTTCACTTTTCGCATCTTTGGGTCAATTTTTTCTTTTTCCTTTCATTTTTAAATGAAAGCTGAGCTTTTTTCTGATAAAATACTTGTTTTCCAAAAAACCGTTTTTTTTTGTTTTCGAGAAATGAATTTTTGAATATAGCGCATCATGTCGTCGCGCCGCAATTTAATTTATAAAACGTTCCATTGAACTATTTTCTGCATTTTACAGGGTTAAGACTGACATTAGAACAATATAATGCCTGCATTATAGTTTTTTTTATTTTTTTAAATTAAAAAAAATATTTAATTTTTTTAAATTTTTAACAAAATTTTTTTGCAATTTGATTTTTAATTTAATGCCCGTACAGAGACAAAGTCGGGAACAGCTAAAGTAAAAAAGGCAAAAAAAATAATAAAATACCTGTTTTGAAAATGTAACGAAATCAGTATTTTGAAATATTTAAAAATCGGAGGAAATTTTTCAACATCAAAAAATAAAAAAATTGGAAGAAATGAAAATAAATAAATTGTAGGCTTTAAATTAGAAACAAAAGTCTAAAAAATTTTTTTTTTTTAATTTTGTTAAAAATTTTAAAAAATAAAAAAAACTATAATGCAGGCATTATATTATTCTAATGTCAGTCTCAACCCTGTAAAATGCAGAAAATAGTTCAATGTAACGTTTTATAAATTAAATTGCGGCGCGACGACGTGATGCGCTATATTCAAAAATTCATTTCTCGAAAAAAAACGGTTTTTGGAAAACAAGTATTTCATCAGAAAAAAGCTCAGCTTTTATTTAAAAATGAAAGGAAAAAAAAAATTGACCCAAAGATGCGAAAAGTGAAAATTTATTTTTATTTTTTTAAAATTTGTGTCAAAATAAAAAAAATTTTGAAAATAGACTTTGCCATTCAAAAGCCCATGAAAAAATCTAAAAAACCCATGTCCTAGTTTTTTTTTTAATTTTTTCCTCTAATTATAAGAAATAATCAAAGTGGAGCGTGTCACGCAAAAGTTCAGAACTTCTACCCCCTCCCCCTCGGACAATTTTTTATAAAATTCATAAAAATTTATCCGATAAATTACTAACCTATAGGGCATATCACAAAAAAAATTTGGGAATAATTGGACAACATTTTTTTTTGGGTGGACTTTTGACGTGATATCCACCATAATTTAACTTTCAGCCCCAATCTCCCTTAAGGCTTAAATTTCGACTCAGGTAGCTATTGATTATTAAAAAAACTTCTGAAAATATTAATCATTAGGTCAACGATAAACAACCAAAAATGTCGTGTATTTTAAGGAATAAATTTAAGCGTGGAAAAAACACTGTACCCTGTTTCTATAGCAACCGCCTTGGTTACGTTTACTGCCGTGAAATAGTAAAGTATTTGTTAGAAACAGAATTTATAACATTGCGTTGAACTTTTTAAAAGAATTTAATATTATACAGGCAGCTATAGTTTTATCTACTTAAAGCAACAATTTCTACAATGTCAGATGGTTTCGCTTTAAGCAATAAATTGTCTCATCACGTACGTGACAAGGTAAAATGAGAACTTTTCATTAATATTTGTTAAACTTTATTTTTAATTAACAGTTTCAACAAATTTTGAAATAAAACTAATTTTATGAATTTAAAAATTTGAATCGAAACACAGTTTTAAATAGAAATGATTAGGATTACTTAATAATTTTATTTAAGAAAAATCAATTTTCATAGGAAATATTTCGCTTCTTTAAAAATAAATCATTTTATTGTCTTATTTGCACTCGAGTAATTAAAAAGTAATGAAATTAATAAAAAGTTTTATTTTGATATTTTCCTAAAATATAAAAGCTTTCTCAAGTGAAATAAAATCAGCCGACATAAAAGTCGAATAATTTATTATGCTTTCTTCTCACAATACTATAATATAGTAAAAGTAATTGTTCTTTGCAAAGTTATCGATTCAGCGATATGAATCATTGGGAGTTTTAATATTTAATAGCATTCAATTTTTCAACAATCCTTTCTTTATCAATTTTACACGCATTTGTAAATTTTTAAAACTATAGACATATAAAAAATCTATTAAAATTGACAGAGAAATTTATTAATTTTTAATCAGGAGGAGAAACGTGCGCAAGAACGACGAAGGAATTTACTTTATCTCGTGACTGATTTTCTGCGAGAACAGAGGTATATGTCCGTTCAATAAAAAAAATAGTAACAAATAGTAATGATTATTATTTAATTTTTTTGATCCGGTATGTTTGGTTTGCGTTGAGATTTATTGACTATCTTCCAGAAAATGGACGGATCTTTTGCAGAAGCTGCATTGTCAATTATTGTTTTCGCTATAAGACTTTTTTCTTTTCCAACAACTTTACATGCATTTTTTTTAAATCATTATATAGAGTTTAGTAATATCAGGGAGGAACCCTTCCGATCTGCACTCTTTTAACATTATTTTAAAAGTCTTTTTACTATTTCTCTGAATTCATTATCAAACCAATAGATTTTACTGAACATACTTTATTATTTAAATTTGAAATCATACCTAAATCTTTGGCAGTTTTTTTATTGTGTTTATTAAATTTGTGGATAAAAATCCAAGATCACTCTCTACATATTCTCGAGATTTAAAGACGACGAGATAGCATTTTTATAATCATTTTCGAGAAAGTCTTTCCATTTAAACTTAGGACTTAAAAAATTTGTTTGACACACGATATCTATTGACAGAGCGACCAGGAAATGCTCCGAGCCAGACACCATATGTTTAATACTCTTAAACACTCTATCAAATGAGTACTGTAGAGATTTCTCCAAACTAAATCAATTATGGATTTACCACCTAACGAATTTGCATATGTAAAAGCGGCCGAATTATTTCCCGTCGTTCTGCTATTCAATAAAATAATTCCCAAACTTTCAAAAGTTTCTATCAACTTAATACCTCTATTTTTTTATCTACAGTTAATCGCACATTACTTATATTATTATTCAATAAGTTTAAATCCTTACTAATTTGATTAAGACCTCCCACACCATATTCATATCTCCTCCAATAAAAATAGGAGAGTCCATAAAATTTCGATTCAAACTATTTATTGTTTCCTTTAATGATTCAAGATTTTCAAAAATGGGTGACGGGGATGTTGCCCAAGTTTATTTGCTCTGCAAGTTTTCGTTCTCGGATTCCTCAACGCCAAACATGATAAGATTTTTTTCCCTTTCCTGTTTTTATAGATATTGAATGGCAGATTCAGCCTGATCCAGTTTTTCATTTACACTTTTTAGGCTTGTTATATCCGGGACCACACTAGTTAACGATTTTTTATTAATATTAACATCCGCTTTTATATCCAGTACCAGCTTCAACAAATCATCGTTGGTAGCCACATCGTTTAATAATTATTAACAATAAATTGTAAAATCACGTACTGACACATCAATTTATGTATATACATATATACATATTAATTTGTTTTTAAAAAATTGCCTTTTACTGGAATTTTTATTGACGTAATATTGTAAACAAACCCGAGTCAAAATTTGAACCCTATTTTCAGTCAAATTGTGACAAAATTAGTTCCAATGAGACTTTGCGCTTCAACTCCAAAAACTGATGGAAATTTAGGATTAATTTTAAATACTTTAATTGAAGTACTATACAAACACATAAAGTATTACAAATTGACAAATACAAATACTGTTCTCTGAATTTGAATTACCTTGTTAAAAATAACTAATTTGAGGGTAAAAATTTAGTACCTAACTGATTCAAAAACTAATGTCTTTACCAATCAAATTAAATTCCCGGTTGGTAGACACCCTGTTAAATGTAGGTATTAGTAGAAGCTAAAACTCTTCTAATACGGATACGACAGCTGGTATTAGTATACGTATTACTAAAGTTAATATCTTGAATAATTCTATTTCCAGGTATATAAATTCCGTGCAAAGTTTAATAATTGAAGCTCGATTAGCAGGTGATGTTCAAGTTTGTGACAACATAGACCTTGAAACAATTTTATTGGAGTATTACGATTATTATTTTGCCAAATTTAATAAATATCCAAAAGTTTGTAAAAAAACTGAAACAGTGACAAATCTTGAATCAATTTTAAATACGTAAGTTTTATAAAAAAAAACGTTTTGTAGTTTCAAATGAAATATCATCGCTCATATATTAGTATTGAGAATTATTGTGTAAAATCTAAAGATTCTCTAAAACCGACCATTTTTTAGGTTGAGATTTACACATTGTTAATAGAGGGCAGCTCCATACGAAAAGCAAATGGTGGATCACCGATTTTTCTTAAAGTTTGTAATTTTGTAGTACTTGGGGTACTAAATAACTGTGCCAAACAGTTTTGCAAAAAAAAAATTTTTTTGCAAGATATTTAGATTTGAAATATCGGAAACTGAAAAAAATGACTTTTTTTGAGAATTTTTATTTCGAAAACTATTGATTCTACAAGAAAAAGTCATTTATTCAAAATTGTAGAGAAAATGCCAATTTTTTATAATATTAAAAAAAAAGTTAAGAAAATTTAATTTTTCAATAATTTGTTTAAACAATAATTTTTTATTGTTAAAAAAAGAGCAAAGGACATCATGGAATATTCTAGAAAAATTATTTTCTCAAAATTTGAATCTTCCTTAATAAGTGGTTAAATTTTTAAAGAAGTGATTTTTGGTGTTTTTGAGAACAAAATTTTTGAAGTTTGCACTACGAGTTTTTGTGCGTTGCGCTAACTAAGCAGCGCCTATATCAGTGTATTTTAAAAGATAATATGACCTTTACTGCTTGCCCCTAATACATTTATTAATTATATACGTATATATTTTATTATAAACAGTTTATAACAATATATACTTTTACTTTACTTTTTTTTTACTTTTTTACAAACATTATTTTCCTTTTTTTAACCCATTAATGCCCATGGGCACAGGAACGCAGGTATAAAAAGTAACTATTGAGATCCTGGCATAGGGTCTAATGATAATTTTTGACTTTAAAAATTAAAAAAAAAAATTTTTTTTATACAATTGGTATAAACAAATGAAGAAAAATTGATTTTCATAAAAAACTGATAGCGCCATTCGATTCGACGCAAAAAACTACTACGAGAACGTATATTACATAATTTTTAAAAAAAGACATATTGTTGTAAAAATATTATTAACGAGGTTCCAGGGATCACGAAATAAGACCAAAGATTCACGGTTTTAAGTAAAGTCACAGATTTATTAATAATGAGCGAAAAAGATTAATTAGATACAAAAATGTACTATTGTCTCAAGCGTCTCTATGAGAACTGAACGAATAAAAAGAAAGACGCCGTAACAGGCGATTAAACAAAAATATAGCGGAAGCAGATGGCACCACCAGATATAAAATAAAACAAGTAATAAAAAGGGAGGCTCAATTTGAATATTTCTAACAAATGTTATAAACAATTAGCCTGCATTTATACTGTACGAGATAGAAGGATCGTTTTTGAAGTTAATAATTTTTTTAAACAAAATTAGTTTAATTAGGAGAGTTTTTACGTCAAAAATTTTTTAAACAAAATTTTTACCTGAAAAACGATCCTTCTATCTCGTACAGTATAAATGCAGGCTAATTGTTTATAACATTTTTGCAACAATATCTCTTTTTTTAAAAATTATGTAATATACGTTCTCGTAGTAGTTTTTGCGTCGAATCGAATGGCGCTATCAGTTTTTTATGAAAATCAATTTTTCTTCATTTGTTTATAACAAATTGTTTAAAAAAATTTTTTTTTTAATTTTTAACGTTAAAAATTATTATTAGACCCTATGCCAGGATCTCAATAGTTACTTTTTATACCTCCCAACGGGAAGTTGCCAATGTTAACGATTGGTTCAATAATGGGCCATGCTTGGTGCCCAATGGTTATTTCTTGGCAAAACAATTGGCAACCATCATTGGACCACCATTGGTTTAAACTTGGGATGATCACGCTACTGCCAATGATCGGTAGCCAAGCATCGGGCCAATATTATTTGCCAAGGAATTGCCAAGGAGACAAAATCGATTTTCAAAAGCTTGATTTTTTATTGGCAGCCAACAAAAAACCAAGGTTTTGAAAATTGATTTTTTTTAATTATTAATTAAAATTTATTTTTAAAAAATATATTTTTCAAAAATTTATTTTAAAAAAATATATTTTTTAAAAATATATATTTTTTTAAATTAATAGAACATATTAATTTAATTTGTCACCTCTGGTAAAACAAAGATGAAAGACTGATAAATTCCCTCACTTTATATTTTACAGTGGAGGGATGACTGTGAATGTCTTTGCGAGAGAGGAGCAGGTACTTATATAGAGCCAGTGAGAAAGGTCACAAGCGGGAACAAATCACTAGCATGCACTCTGGCGGCGCTTGTCGGAAGTGGCGCAACGTTGGTTGCCAAGCGCTGCGTCGATAATGTCAGGATATGCATGCGCGCCAGAAAACAGTTCCGACAAGCGCCGCCAGAGTGCATGCTAGTGATTTCTTCTCGCTTGTGACCTGTTTCACTGGCTCTATATAAGTACCTGCTCCTCTCTCGCAAAGACATTCACAGTTATCCCTCCACTGTAAAATATAAAGTGAGGGAATTTATCAGTCTTTCATCTTTGTTTTACCAGAGGTGACAAATTAAATTAATATGTTCTATTAATTTAAAAAAATATATATTTTTAAAAAATATATTTTTTTTAAAATAATTTTTTGAAAAATATAATTTTTAAAAATAAATTTTAATTAATAATTAAGAAAAATCAGTTTTCAAAACCTTTGTTTTTTGTTGGCTGCCAATAAAAAATCAAGCTTTTGAAAATCGATTTTGTTTCCTTGGCAATTCCTTGGCAACTAATATTGGCCCGATGCTTGGCTACCGATCATTGGCAGTAGCGTGATCATCCCAAGTTTAAACCATTGGTGGTCCAATGATGGTTGCCATTAATGTTCCAATAATGGAACGGAGTTCGCCAAGCATGGCCCATTATTGAACCAATCGTTTACTTCCCATTGGGCTGCGTTCCTGTGCCCATGGGCATTAATGGGTTAAAAAAAGGAAAATAATGTTTATAAAAAAGTTAAAAATATATTGTTAAACTGTTTATAATAATAATATATATATACGTATATAATTAATAAATGTATTAGGGGCAAGCAGTAAAGGTCATATTATCTTTTAAAATACACTGATATAGGCGCTGCTTAGTTAGCGCAACGCACAAAAACTCGTAGTGCAAACTTCAAAAATTTTTTTCTCAAAAACACCAAAAATCACTTCTTTAAAAATTTAACCACTTATTAAGGAAGGTTCAAATTTTGAGAAAATAATTTTTCTAGAATATTCCATGATGTCCTTTGCTCTTTTTTTTAACAATAAAAAATTATTGTTTAAACAAATTATTGAAAAATTAATTTTTCTTAACTTTTTTTTTAATATTATAAAAAATTGGCATTTTCTCTACAATTTTGAATAAATGATTTTTTCTTGTAGAATCAATAGTTTTCGAAATAAAAATTCTCAAAAGAAGTCATTTTTTTCAGTTTCCGATTTTTCAAATCTAAATATCTTGCAAAAAAAATTTTTTTTTGCAAAATTGTTTGGTACAGTTATTTAGTACCCCAAGTACTACAAAATTACAAACTTTAAGAAAAATCGGTGATCCACCATTTGCTTTTCGTATGGAGCTGCCCTCTAGTGAAACCAGGAACGATTTTCATAACGGTCAGTTCTATTATTAGGGTTATTATTAAAAATATTAATTTGTTTAAGAGGCAAGAAGGATAAGACAAATAAAAATATTATGAAAGTGGATGGCGAAAATGACGTGACGAAATTAAATGTAGCCAAAGTAGCGACTTACACAAATCTTGAAACTAATTTGGAAATAACAGCTACGTCTATTAATGCAATTCCTCAGGAAGTAAATCAACAGAGGCTTCAAAATAAAAACTTTACTGGGGAAGACGTTGAAGAGAAGGTTCTTAAGCCTATTAAAGATTTATATCCACTTGGATCCAATTGGAGCGAGATTGCAGAAATTATCTCTAACGTATTTCAATTTACAATAATGAATCCTAATTAATATTAATAATATTTGTTAATTTTTCATTTCATTTATAATTTATTAAACTAGAACAAAACAATTAGCAGTCACTAACCTTTAAATGGAGTACTTTTGAAAAAATGTATAATTTTAGGAAATTGTGTTAAAAAATTTAAATGTCCACTGGGATGACGTTAAAGGCTTAGATGAATGCAAGACACAACTGAAAGAGGCGACGGTCTATCCTTTAAAATATCCTATGCTATTTTCCGGAAACATTGCTCCATGGAAGGGAATTTTGCTTTACGGGCCACCTGGAACAGGTGAAGCAAATTAAATAATTTCAGAATTGTGATTGAGAGAATTAGCGGTAAATATAAAAAATAGTAGATACAGAAATTATCTTCTAGGTAAAACTATGTTAGCAAAGGCTGTCGCTACAGAATGTGAAGCAACCTTTTTCAATGTGACATCAAGTTCAATTGTTAGCAAGTGGAGAGGAGAGACAGAAAAATATATACGTGTAAGTAATTAATATATTTATCGAAACGCATGAACATTTATTATATTCCTTCCATAATTTTCCAATTTCCATTAAGATGAAAATGCGTTTAAACCAATTTAATTAAACGGGATTGGCGAATACAGTAGAGACCCCCATTATACAGATATTCGATTATCTGGACAAAATTTCAAATACTTTTTTAAAATTTTAAAGTTTATAAACATTTAATACCATAAATTTTGAATTTTCACACGAAACGTTGCGTTTTTATATATTTTAATGATTTTAAGAAAATGTTTATGTAAATTTTTTGAAATTTCTTACTAAATTTTTAACTAAACATTTATTATTATTGACTTTAAGAGTTTTATTTCGTTTCAGTCTTATTTAAATACATATGCAAATAAAAACCTAAAATTATAAATCAAAAATTCTTCTTTTGCACTTTTTTCGATTATCCGGATATTAGGTGCCTGCATCTCTTAGTCCGGATAATGGGGTCTCTACTGTATTATCATTTTTGCAATATTTTATTTAACTGATTTTATATTTCAACAAATTTATACATAAACAAAATACCCTTGAATCAATAAATTACACAGGACCACAAAAATTTTTTTAAGGAAATATTGACAGGACCATGTTTTCTATATGTTTTTTGGGTCACTTATCAGATTTACTGGAAACTTGTTACTCGGGGGTTTTTGGGGTCGCTGAATACGTATTTCACCAGTTTTTCAAAATTCAAAATGGAGGATCCAATATGGTTAACGAATTATTTAAAAATTTATCAAATTTTGAATTTTTGAAAACTAAGGTGAAATTCGTTTTTAGCAACCCCAAAAACCCCCGAGTAACAAGTTTCAGGCGAATTGGGTGAATTTAAAAAAAATCGACGCCATATTGGATCCGCCATCTTAAATTTTGAATATTGACGAGTTTTTTTGATTGTTTAACATTATATAATATTTTTTCAGTGTGTTAGAGTTGTTTTTTAATAGAATCTTCTGCTTATTTTTATTTATATCTTATTTACAGTCAGTTTTTTCGAATTTTATTCGGAAATCCATTGTTGTAAGAACACTTTTGTTGACTCAGCTATTATTAGATTGCATTTTATTATATGATTAAACTATTAGAATTAATAATATGTTAATAACAATTATTTCTTGTTAATTTTATTATTATTACTACCATTATTATTTTTCATATTCTTATTATTATTATTATTATTATTATTATTATTATTATTATTATTATTATTATTATTATTATTATTATTATTGACATTGTTATTAGTTTTAATTGTTATTGAAGTTGCCATTCTCATTATTATTATTTTTACTAATTATACATATTATTTATTGAAAATTATGTTACGATGACGTAACAGTCATTTTTTGTAACCCAGTGTAATTTATGGATAATTTTTCCCAAAACGTTTTTCAATAAAACTCAAGAATACATTTTGCCTTGAAAAATAAAAATTACCAGGTTCTTCTGGATCTAGCGAAACATTATGCACCGTCAATTATTTTCATCGACGAAATTGACTGGACAGCAATTTGTAGTGATGATTCTTCGGCATCGAAATCCGAGCCAAGTCGAAGATTCCGAGCAGAATTACTTTCCAGACTGGATGGATTATTAACAATGGAAAATGCCAATATATTATTATTAGCAGCAACAAATATACCATGGTATATTTATAAATAAATTCTAGAAATTAAATTAATTTTTGCATTTTCATCGACTCTGGTGTCCTTAGATTTTTCCTTGTAGAACTTTCATTTAAATAATACTACAAGTTCAGTTTATCATGTATCACTCGATTGTCTTTCAAAGTTTTGATTTATTTTGTTATACATTGTCATAAAATCAATTTCTTGTAAATTAATAGGGTTTTAGATGCTGCTCTACTGCGAAGATTAGAAAAACATATTCACGTAGGTCTTCCGAATGAAGAAACCAGGAGAGAAATTTTCAAAACTTACATATCCAAGGACATATCACAATTAGCGGAATTCTCAAATTTGGTAAATCAAACAAAGGGATATTCATGTGCTGATATTAAATTGTTGTGTAAGGAAGCATATATGAAACAATTACGACCAATTTTGAAGTACCTGGAAAGTAATAATATTGTTAAGAAGGAAATAGGTTGTGACAATTTTATAAACAATATAAATCACCTCAAAGAGTCAATGCGAATAATCAAACCGATTTCTTTAAAAGACGAAAAAACAAAGTACAAAAACTGGAGCAGAAGAAATGATCACCTTGTAGAAACTGATGAAAGTGATTTCGAATAGAAGATTATTCAGATTATAAAGTATTATTATTTACATAAACAAAAAGTGCAATTTTATTTTTTTTATAATGTATATTTTAAAAACGAAGTCGCATTTCTTACAAAGTCTATGAAAACAAAAATATATTTCACTTTTTGCGCTTCTCCTGTAAACTTTTTGCTTGCTGCAAACCATGATAATATCCTGCACATAAAATAATAAATTATATTTGATATATTAAAAAATTAATACAAGGCAATATATATTATTTAAAATCAATCTATTCTATATTAATTTTTGCTTTTCAACTTTAAGATAAAAAAAGGTAAAAAAAAAAATTATTAACATGTCAAGAAATTTAAACAGGGTTGCCACAAAAATTTAATTGTGCTTTTTCCTGATTTCCAGACAAACTTTGACTTTTTTTCCCTGACCCTAAATAATATTCTTTAGACGAATAGAATTTTTAGTTAATAGAAAATTAAAGAATTTAGTAGGTAAAATATGAATAAAATCAGATCAAAAGAATAAATTACCTACTACTATTTTACAGAAATATGTTCACGGACTAACGTCATGGATGAAATTTCCCGTCATATTCTTATTCACTCTAAAAATTACTAGATACTCAAAAAAAAATGTTCTATTACATTTGAATTTCCTTAATTTGGCAAATTATTCAAAAGCACCAATGGCTTCATTTTTAAATAAATATATAATCATTATTACCATTCCGCAGAAATTAAAATTCTTCAAAACATTCAAATTCAAATCTTTTAAGGAGGAATGGTATAGAAATTCAAAACATTCAGAATCTTTTGATATTTTGGGAAATGATTTGCTTTTATATAATAAAATTCCCCACCAAATTTCAGAATTTTTCACTAAATACTTTGCAAGTTAAAAATTATTTAATTTAACATTACCTCTTATGGAGAAAGCACGAATTTGCATGTTTATCATTAAAAATTTAATACTTAAAACATTCAGAATTTTTTGCGAAAATTGTATCTTGAAGGTCAAGATTTAAGCTTTATTAATCACGAAGGTTCTTTTTTATTCACTAAGTAGTTTAAAAGTAATTAATTAGTTTCTGGAAGAAAACTAATTTTTTGACAGACAAACAGAGAAAACGTGGCAACACTGCATATAAAAACTCACATGTGACAGCTGTTTAGTGGTATTGGCGATTCAAACAGTTCAAGCAGCGCCACTGTTGGAACTAATATATGCAGGACAGCTGGTCTATGAGCGGTATTCATAGTCGATACTTATTTCTTAAGCAGCGACTTAAGCTGCGAGCTGCCACCTAGATTCATAGTCGTGCAATGAGCATTGCCTTAAGCCGCAACTTAAGCATTTGCTTGGAAAAGTAAATTGTTCGATTTTGAGATGCATAGTCCCATCTTAAGAACGCCAAGTATTCATAGTCAAATAAGATGAACTTATTTGACATTGCCGGTGAACTTATTTGAACGAATTGAGGTTATGATTTTAAGTCAACGTTTTACATGACTTAAGTAATTACTTATTGTCTTTTTATAAATATTTATAATAAAAATAAAAAGATTTTTGATTAAAAACAATTTAATAATAATTTAAATTTAATAATTTAAAAAAAAGGTTCAAAATTTATAAAATTTTCACGAGAAATAAAAAGTATTTTTTTTCATCGAAATGTTGAAAAAACATTTCGATTTGGCCTTAAGAATGTGTCTACCAAATAAATGCATCCACACACATACATCTGGAGAATCTGTTCCCCATGTTGAAATATTTATATACACTATACTTGAAAATTTGTAAAAATAATTGATTCTTAGAAAATCGACACCCTATATGAGGAAATAAAACTGTTAATATTAAATAATTATTAAAAAAATATTATTTTTAAAAATTTTGTAGTTCCAAACGAAAGTTAATTGTTTCACCCCTTTTGTATGCACTCTTGGTTCATTGGTTTAGAAAAAAAAGATTTTGTTCAAAAAGTTGCAAAAAATTCATTGTACAATAACTTTTTTTAAACAAAATTTTTTCTGTCGTTTGTTGGCGTTTAAGAGAGACAATGGCCAAATAAAAATGTTTTTTTTTCATTTCGATTATAAAAATACTCCTTATTTTTTGTAAAATTTCACTGATTCTGACTCAGAATAATTTTTTTAGAAACAATATAATAATAGTTGAAATAATTTTTTCTACCTTTTAATATAGAAAAATTTAGAATCTAAATATAATTTTTCGTCAGGAATAAAGAATATTTCAATTTTTCATCATTCTGGTAGTCATTTTTTGTATCCTTTTACTTTATAACTTTTTTCCTAAAAATATTAAAATATTATGCATATTTTTAAGTTTTTTTTACCCCACTCCTCTCCATTATAAGATATTTTATGTGCATTAGCGTCATTTTTTCTAATGAATATAAGCTATCTACCATCGCTTATTGGTAGATACAAGAGAATATTGACGGAAAAAGCCGAACGCTCAATAAGATCATCTTAAGCATTTGCTTGGTCAAGAAGTTCTTAAGCTGCATTTCCTTTACCAAGCAATTGCTTATTTTTGACTATGAATACATACGGTCTTAAGCTCGACTCATTCGAATAAGACCGACTTGATCAAGCAAAGCTTAAGTCCTTGCTTAAGTCGGGACTATGAATACCGCCCTATGTTTCTGTTTGTTTACTTAAACTTTGTAATGATTTTAATAAAATAATTTATTTAATTATATAATATACAGTTTATTTATTAAAATAATTATAAAGTTTAAGTAAACAAACAGAAACATAGACCAGCTGTCCTGCATATATTAGTTCCAACAGTGGCGCTGCTTGAACTGTTTGAATCGACAATATAGAACCAAGAGATGGCGCCAAAGGTACCAAAAATGACAAATTTTCATTATTTTTAACCACACAAATGCAAACCATAAGAAACCACAACACTTGACACTGTTACCAACGATCAAAAAACAAACTACTTGCATTGCGACGTTGTCACGATTATACGCTCATTACAAATTGTTATTTGACAATGTTTATAATTAATAACATTAATATTACAGCATAATAAGACACATATATACGTAATAATAGCATTTTTTCAAAGTTTGCAATGGAATACTCGATAAATCCGAAAATAATTTTTAGAGAATTTCAGTAACTTTTATTTTCTTAGGTTTTAAATTCGTACAGACAGTAACAAAAATTATTTTCTGCTTTTATAAAAAAAATTAATTTGATTAATTTATTATCTTTTCCTTATTTAATATATACTTTTTAATATTCATTGATGTCTACTTTTATGATTTCAATAAGAAAAACTGCTATATGTAGCTTAAATAAAAAAATTACAAATTCCCCTAAATGCACGGAAAGAAAAGGTCTGGAAGAGATATCCATAAAAATATTGTTGAGCAGAATATTGTTGTGTTATCCAATTCAATGGAAGAGACAACTTTCAGAATGGAAGCACATTCCATATTCAATGGATGAGGGAGCCATATTATATTGTTGAATCAAATATGGATGTGATATCCATAGGCATGGTTGGGCTTACAATTCATGCTATGGATTTTCACATATGGCTGTCTCATCCATATAAACTTTGGTTGGGAGATCCATAGTTAGTTCAAAATTTCGATACATGTTGCGCGCAATTCATTATCATGGCATCCATTTAAAAATGGTCGTCTCAATTTGTCCGTCGCGTCGGTTTCCTGTCACGTCTATATAATCGCGTTGTGAGTTTATTGTGTATAAATAGTGTTACAATTGTTTATTATTTATTATCGTTATTGTCTATTAGTTTTTATGTAAATTCATTTTCATGAAATATGTGTATAGTATATAAGGAATATCATATGCTCAAATATTGTAGTTGCGTGTATAGTGTAGTGGATAGCGTTAGTGTTTAGTATGCGTTAGGTCTAGGGTTCGTGTCTCCCCCATCGGTTAATAATTTATTTCGTTAATATGCGGTTATTCAATAAGTGGTGTGTATTAATTAACAAAAATGTGTATAAAATATCTCAAGTGACATTGAATTTAATTAATTGAGTGATTCCAATTTTTTGTTTCCCATTTCCATTACTATGGATCACCCAACCATAGATCTTTTGCTGCTCCAACAATATACAGCCAGCCATAGAATATGGATGCAGCAACCTTAACTATGGATATCCCGTATTTTTCAATATAATATGGCTGTGATATCCATGTATCTGGATGTGTCAACTATTCCTTTTTCTCCGTGTGTCACAAACTTTTGGCCCGATTAGGTATACCATTCCTCCTTAAACTTTTTCAAAAAAATTAAATTCAAAGAATATTTGATTAAAAGTATGAACAATTCAAATTTTTAAAGATTTTAATTTGAAACCGTTACAAAATTCATTTATTTCTAAAAATTGCAATTATTAGTAAATTCTCAAAAATTCAATTATTATCCGAAACTTTAACTGAAATTAAATTTTAAAATCATTTTTTATTAGAAAATTCTTCGAGAATTCAATTATTTAAATACGAGCATAGATAATTTATTAAAAAATTAAATTATTAAGAATAATTACACTTTCCAAGGAATTCGATTAAAGTTGTATTAAAAATAATTGAAATTCTGCAGTGAGTTTTATTATTTATGAAAATAATTGAATTATTGGGAAGAATTTTATAAAAAAGTTTTAAACAATTGATTTTTTTCGAAAAAATTTTTGCAAATTCTATTTTTAATATGTAATTGAATTCCTGTCAAATTTTTATTTTTTTGAAAAATAATTGAATATTCGTGTAGTTTTATGAAAATTTTTGTTTAATAATTTAATTCTTTTGGGGAATTTTATTAAATTAGTATTATATTGAAAATTACTGAATTAAGAAAAATTTTTTCAAGTGAATGAAATTTTACCATGATTTTTATTAAAATTTTTGAAAATAATTGAAGTTTATTATTTTATTTATCAATTATTAATCAATTATTATTAATCAATTATTAATCAATTATTTTAATTAATTGAATTCTTGTGATGAATACTATTATTTATTAAAATAAAATTGAATTTTGCAGTGAATTTTATTAAAATTCCTGAGTAGTGAGTTGAGTAGACAAGGGGTTTCGGGAGGCAAAGGGAATCTGTGACGTCAAATACAGTGCCGTCGCTCATTTGATTATTTAGTATCATTTAGTGGTGCCCGGTATTTAGTAGTGGGGGACCCTTAAATTTCTTGACACGGACCTGAATGTTTTAGTTTTTGCTTGCTTCGAACAGTGCACAATATTCCCGACGACTGCACTGTTGAAAGATCCTACTGTAATTCAATTTCTGCGAAGAATTTTATTAATTTTGAAAATAATTGAATTCTTGTGATGAATACTATTATTTATTAAAATAATTGAATTTTCAATGAATTTTATTAAAATTCCTGATAATAATTAAATTTTGCTATTTATTTATAAGGATAATTAAAATGTTGACAATTTTTTTTAGATTTTTCAAAAATAATTGAATTTTTGCGAAGAATTCTATTAATTTCGAAAATAATTTAATTCTTGCGATGAATAAAGTCATTTATGAAAATAATTGAATTTTTCAATGAATTTTATAAAAATTTCTGAATATAATTGAATTTTGGCGAAGAATTTTGCTATTTATAAAGATAATTGAAATGTTGACAAGAATTTTTAAAAATTTTTTGAAAATATTTGAATTTCTGAACAGAATTTTAATATTGATTAAAATAATTGAATTCTTTCAAAGAATTGCGTCAAAATTTTAAAAATTGAAACTAATTGTAACAGAATTGAAATTTAAATTCTTCAAAAAAATACTTCATTCAATGATTTATAAGTAAGTAATAACTTTATATCAGTTCTTCAATAGAATTGAGTTATTTGAAATAAATTATTGTCAGAAATAGAAAAAATTGGAGATTTTTTTTTTTGAATTCGTGATAACATCATAGTTTATGAGGCAAACAAAAAGACACAAAAATTCAAAATTTTCTTATAAATTCCAAACATTTAATTTTTTCCAGTACTTTTAATAAAAATCCCTGACTTTTCTCTGACTTATGGCAACCCTGTTTAATAAAACCGAATGTATATTTAGTGAAACCTCTATTTCTTTTAACTTTTGTCTAAGCATATGTTTATTTTGTAAAAAATTTTGCTTAAAAAATTCTTTTTTAATTGATAGCTCCTAAAAGAAAACCCAATTTTTAATAGGTATTATTATTATTGTATTTTGTTAATTTTAATTTTATTTATTATTATAATTATTAATTAATTATTACCTATTAATTAAACTTTTATTATTAATCTTATTATGTAATTTTTTGTATTTAAATAATTTGTGACAGCAAATGGAAAACAGTGGAAACAAATAGAATTCTGAATAAGGCAACTTGAAAATCAGAGAATATCAATTTTAGAAATTATAGATATATTCTTATTGTGCAGGTTTTAAAATGTTATCAGTCTGTAATTTATATGAAAGGGCACTTCTTTTCTTAATTTGTAAGCCCATTAACTCATGAAATAAATAAGCATAACTTAATTTGTAAATTAATTAAATGAATAATTGTTGAAATATTTTGGTGATTTGAAAATTTCTTACCAGTGTGGAATCCACTAATATACCAAGACATTAACATGCTAGAAAGAGCGTCCGCGTCGTTTTGAGGCAATCTGAAAAATACTTGACAAATAAAAAGTCATTCGTGTAATTTAAACTTGCAAGTATTGTATTAAAATTAAAAATAAAGATCAACTAGCCTGCTCATAAGATGAGGTGGCAGTGGTGGGGCAGGTGGCGCTGTAGGAAGATTAATATCAGTCAGTCGATCATATGGAGTAAATGTTTTTGACGATTTATTTTCGGTATAATCACAGTCCATTTTATCTCCGAGAACTCCATTTACATTCCTCAAATTCGAAGAATGTTTTGAAGTTTCAGGAGCAGTTGAAGTACTTTGTTGACTCTCGTCATTGTCTAGCATTGCCGCTTTTTGTTGTGCAATTTGATTTTGAAGTCCTTCAGATTCCAAGAGTGAAATGAGTTCTACTTGTTCTGTATTATTATAGCCTAAAAGATTTTAAATAATGAAATACAAATTTTTTTAATTGTTTCTTTTAAAATTAAAGTTAAATAAGTTTTTGGAACCTATAAATCTAACAGTACAGGTGCCAGAATTTTCGTGCATTTCTGTAATTATTGCTTCGTACAAATCTCCATCTTCGGAATAAATTGCTCGACAAGGACACCCAATACACCATTTCTAAAAAAAACCAATGTTACATTAATACATGTTTATTTAGTAAACAGATTTTTCATAAAATTTGAAAGATTAAATTTGTCTTTAATATCTTTTTGTACAGTAAATACTAAAAAATAAGATGATGAAAAATAAATGATTTATTAGTAAATACTACAAAAATAGATGTACTCTTTGATTTTTGCGAGATTGACGATGCTCTTTCGGAGTTGTCGATTTACTAGGTTTGTCGGGAGATACTTCTTGGATTCCCATTCGTTTTGCCACTTCCTCTTTAGCTAAATTAATAGCTTTATCGTATGCTTTTATTAATGCAGAATCATCCCAGACATCTTCATGATCTTCATCACTCATTGACTAAAAATTATGTATATGATTTCAATTATTTATGTCCCTAAGGTTATAAACTTTATTGAAATGATAGAAATTTAATTATTTCAAATTCAAATTTTATTAAAATAATATTGTATTACACATTAAAAATATTAAACATAAAGTTTTGAAATATTTATTTTTGTTTTCGCTTTCTATTGCAATCAGTAATTTTTGAAATATTTATATAAAAAATAAAATATTTAATAATTATTTGTGATACAAGGCCCTTAAGGGAAAGTGAAAAGTTTATAGCCTCGTATTACTATTTAACGCACTATACTTTAAACAAAATCGAGCAGTACTAACATGTGCCTCTAGGTAACTGAAAATTTAAATGGTAAATACATGCAATTTTGAATGAAAATCACTTAATACTTTTTCAAGCTCATAAAAATTTACTAAAAATGAGCAAACTTGATAAATGTCTCTATCACAAAAGTATAGTAATGGTCGAGAGGCAAGTCTTATGCATGGATCTGTATTTGTAAAAATTTTATTTTAAACATATTATCATCTAGTACGAGATTATTGAGAATTTTTAGTAAATTTTTATCAGTTTGAAAAAAATAAAGTGATTGTAAATAGTTGTAGAATTTATCACTCGGAAAAGATAATATAAAATGTCATTAAATTCATTAAAAATTACACGTATTTAATTCTAAATGTCAATTTTGTCAGACGTCTGGCGAAATAAGCAACTGTAATTAAATCGCCGGTAAGAGAAAATATACAAAAGGAAAATGGCAAAATAAAATATCAAGAAATGCATTAATGATTTGATTTCTATTTTATTTTAAATCAATAGTGTATGTCATCAATTTTAAAGTACATGATAGTATAGTATATAGTATATAGTATATAGTATATAGTTCCTCAAAAAGGGGACAACAATTTATTTGTTTATAGAACTTGCATATGAGGCCTCGGATTGAAGAACTCGACCGCAAATTTTTTATCATATACATAGCTTCCATAAATTTTTTAAAAATGCGATTCCATGGGAGATTTTAGTTTTAAAAATAACCAATTATAAAGTAAACCAATTGCAATGAAACTTAGGAATTTTAATCTACACATAAAAGAAATATTTCCACCAAATATTACGTCAAAATATTCAGTAGTTTTTGAGATGTCAAAATTTTGAAATTGGTATATCTTCTTTCCACCTTAACCAAATCACTTAATTCTTTTTGGAAAAAATTCAGCATAAAAAACGAAAAAATTGTTTATATTACGTTTATACAAAAATTTTATAAACAAAAAAGTTATTAAATAATAATTGAATAACTTTTGAACGACCAAATGAAATTGAATGATGCAAACACTAAAAAAATCTTCGCTGTGGTTTCTTTAAGATTCTGAAAAAAAACTTTGCATCAAGAATGGAATCGTACAAAAATGATTCGATTTTAATCAGAGTTGCCGCAACAGTTTAATTTTATTTTTCCCTGACTTTTCACTGATTTCCAGATAAAATTTTCACTTTTTTCCTAAACTGTGATGTCTGTAATCAGGGTGACCAACAGTCATCCACAAGTTCTAAACATTCGAATATTTTCAAAAATTACTACCTTATATAAAGAACAAAAATGAAACTAAACATTTGAAATTGTTATAATTTACTTTTTTAATACTTGACGCAATGTTATTGCAATACAAATTTTAATTTAAAGAAATAAATAAATTTTGTTTTTTCGAATGTTCAGAACTTTAAAGACATTTAACAGCATGTGATTGTTACAGAATTCAATGTTAATTTTTTCGTCCACTTTTCTCTTAAAATATTAAATAAATTAAGCTAGTTTTTTGTGAATAACTCTAAAATATCATAAAGAAGGGCAGTGATGTGAAAAAGTTTTAATATTTTTAAAATTATTTATTAAAAAATAACTTTAAAATTATCAGTTCTCAAAATCACTTTTAATTAATTTCTCGTCTTTTCCGATTTCAAAGTATTTTTTATAATTTATTTTAGAATTATTAAAACTTTTGCACATCACTGCTCTTCTTTATTATATTTTAGAGTTATTCACAAAAAACTAGCTTAATTTATTTAATATTTTAAGAGAAAAGTGGTCGAAAAAATTAACATTCATTTCTGTAACGGGAATTTTTTAGTCAGAAAAAAGTAAATAAAAAATTTCAAACTTTAAATTTTTAAAATTTTATTTAAAGTCAGGGAAAATTTCCTGACTTTTATGAATTTAAATTACTTTTAATTTAACAATACATAAATTGTTTTTATTACTATCACTCATTATCACTAGATATTAATTTATTGTTAAATATGGTAGTAAACAATAGGGTGGCACAAAAAAGGTCGACTTTCGAAAATTGCTTAAGGAACTCCTACTTCCCTATAAGAAATACATTGGAAAAATGCACTTTTTAAAAAAAAATAATCAAAATTCTAATAAAACTGTCTCAGAAGTTAAAGAGACCTCAAAGGGTAGTCAAAGTTTAAGAAAGTTCCAAAAACCGTGACTTTTTCAAATTAATCCTGAAAGTTAAGTCTCAAAAAAGTAAACCCCTAAATATAAAATCGACATTTGAAGAAAAATATATATCTTCAAAATAATATTTTTTTGGTTTTTTTACAGAATCTTTTTTTAATTTACAAAATACAACATGTAATGAATTTGTTAATTACACTGGGTTACAAAAAAATGGTCATGTCGTGTTTATTTAAAATTTACTGTGTTTATTGAAAGTTTAGGTGTCACAGAATAAGAATATACCAGAAAAACTTTTTTTCATTCGGTCATTCCCTTAAAAAACGAGTTTAAAGTCTCAAAAAACCGTATTTTTAGCACTTTTTGAGGCAGCGTAACAAGAAAATGCAACATGATAAAAATCTCTACAAAAGCTTAAATAAAAGCTTAAACCTTCAACTTTAAGGCTCAGAACTGAAAAGTACTTAAATAAGCACTGAAAACCTGCAGTCACTATCTGAAATTATCAAAAAAGCTGGGTTAGGTAGCACTTGGTAAAAATCAATTTCCCTAACCGGATTCGGTTGCAAATTGTTATTTTAGGTTTTTGAGGTTTCTAATGACGAATTGGAACTTAGATTTGAAAAATTTCAAAGTGGCGGACTCAATTTTTTAAAATTATTAACGCAAATTTTGAAAAATTGAGTGAATTTATTATTTTCAGTCCGCCATTTTGAAATTTTTAAATCTAAGTTCCAATTCGTCATTAGAAACCTCAAAAAACTTCAAATAACAAGTTGCAACCGAATCCGCTTAAGGAAATCGATTTTTACCAATTGCTTCCTGTTCTAGCTTTTTTTGACAATTTCAGGTAGCGACTGCTTGATTAAGGAGGTTTTCATTGATTATTTAAGTACTTTTCAGTTCTGAGCCTCAAAGTTGAAGGTTTAAGCTTTTATTTAAGCTCTTGTAGAGATTTTTATCATGTTGCGTTTTCTTGTTACGCTGGCTCAATAAGTGCTAAAAATACGGTTTTTGACACTTTAAACTCGTTTTTTTAAGGGAATGACCGAATGAAAAAATGTTTTACTGGTATATTCTTATTCAGTGACACCTAAACTTTCAATAAACACAGGAAACTTTGAATAAACACGATATGACCATTTTTTTGTAACCCAGTGTTAAATTCGAATTGTTTAAACAATTTTTATTTATTTAAATAATTAGATTTATCAGAAAAATTACTTAGACGTAATATTATTTTGCAATATAGTGGTAAAAGATAATAAGCGAATGAAGAGTTCATCATTCAATTTTTAATCAATGTTATTTTGAGCCTATTTTTCTTAAAATGTCGATTTTCCATTTAAGGGTTGTTTTTTTGAGACTTAAGTTTGAGTGTTAATTTGAAAAATTTCGTTTTTTTCGGTAATTTCTTAAACTTTGACTATCCTTTGAGGTCTTCTTAAGGCGTACACGGAAAAAAAAAGTTCACGAATCTCTCGTGAATTAGTATATCACTTTTGGATGGGACACAAAATTCTTGAAAATCAACAAACACAGTTCGTCAAAATTTCATCAACTCCTTCACTAGAAACATAGTACGGTTTCCGAACTTTTCGTCAAAGTTAACGAAAAATTCGTGAACTTTTAAAAAATGCTAAAAACAAGAAAAAATAATTTCCAGACACTACTTTTTTATAGTATTTCACTTTATTTGATAACTTGACGCCTATTACGCACCCAACTACACAGAATACACAATTTTATCGCCATTAAAATTCGTAATTCGCTTCACGGGATTCGAACCTAGTACCTATACCCTATAACATAATATTTCTAACAACTAACCGCCACGGCTAAATCTAGATACACTGTCCTTCGACAAACGAAACGATTAGCTTTGTCTGCTGTAAAACTCAGGACCGTGCAAAGTAGAAAAAGTCCCTTATCGTAACTTTTAATTCATTTTATGAATTATTTGTTTCACAAAGGAAATTAGCAAACAAAAATATTCACTAAGTAATAAAAAACACTGATTCTAAATAATAACTTTCATCAAAGAATTTTCCCGAATGTAAACACCGATGACACCGACTGAATGATGAATGCTTGATCAGCCATATTTGATGCGCATTACGAACTGCGCATACTACTGACACTCGCGAGTTCACGATTTTTTCGTGAACTTGTACCTCTACTTTTGACGAACTACTCTTCCTTAACAGTTCATCAAAAATTCATTAACTTTGTTTCAGTTTTTCGTTGACGTTCGCCATTTCTAATCAAAAGTGAATGAAAATTTTGAAATTTTGTGTCCCATCCAAAAGTGATATACTAGTTCACGAGAGATTCGTGAACTTTTTTTTTCCGTGTACTTGCGTTTGCGAAGGAAAAAAATAGGCCCCACTTTTTTGGGATTATTAAATGAAAATATTTGCAATTTCTATTATCCGAATCAGGTCCTGTCCAAATTAGTTTGGATCATCGAGGTTCCACTGTATATTTTTTTACCCCTGGTTGATTGTGGTCATCAGAAAACCATTTTTT